TGATAGACGCCTGGATTTTCTTGGCTCGCTTGATTGCTATCCCGACTGCCTCGAACTCCTTGTCCGCAGCGCTTTGACTCAGGCGTCACGACATTCTGCCCGCTTTCCAGCTTCAGGACGGCAAGATCGAACAGCAGCATCCGAAGGTTTCGGGTTCGCTCTTGGTGGGCTGTCGGAGTTTCGCAAATGAAACAAGCTCTCTCTTCAACGGGAGCCAAGTTGGACCATCATGTGTATTCAGGTCTCCACAAACACAGCAGCTTGGCCTCCCTCGAGACCATGACTCGATTCTCACACTCCAAAGTCTCCACCGCCACTAGCTGACGGGCCCCAAAGCTGATCAATTCCCGGGGAACCCTTCCCCCATCTCGCCGCCGAGATCCGTCAAGGCCCAGTGGTACCAGAAGACGATCGAGACATGCGCAGATCGCAAGAGCACCGCAAGGCTGCGAGCGATGAGTTCACTGGGCAACAACCGTCTCAATATCCCGCTGCCGTTCCCAACCCACAAATATTCCGACCTTCTCGGGATCAAGTCTGACTTGGATGCTTACGTGGGTTGGCTCCACTCGGTCAACTTCTATCTATGGGATCCTCGGCAGACTCAATATACTGCATAGCAGTGCTCGCCTCCAAGTCCGCTTATAAGTGCGCCCCACAACTAGCGCCCTCCCACACACTTCACACTCACACACTCATGTCTCGAAAACAAAGTCTCAACGCACCTTACGACGCTCCCTACGAAAGTCCACAACAACATAGACCGGTGCGCCGCTGTAGATGCCGGTGCATTCCTCGCTGCAACTGTCGCTGTAACTGCCCACACGACGAGCACTGTGTCTGTCGCGACCCGTGCGATGGCACCTGCGGGTACCAAGCTTCGCGCAACCTCGTCGTTTCGCTGGACGGAACGTCGAACCAGTTTGGAGATCATGTGCGTTCAATCATCCAAACGTTCCCGCAATTATCCCTCATTCGTTTGCACGCTGCTAGAATACGAACGTCGTCGAGCTGCACGGACGGATCCTGGTTGATCCCTCCGCCGAACAGCTCACGTATTATAACTGTGGAATCGGAACGTACGTGCCCAACCGCGAAAAGACGGTCAAGTACGTGCGGCAACGGTTCGACAACATAGTCGACTTGGCCATCGCATGGTGCGCCTCATTTCTATTTTGTTGGACAGGATACTAATATCGGATACAACGTGCAGGAATTTCCGGATGATCGTCTGCAAGGCGTATCGGTGGCTTTGCAACGAGTATCGTCCCGGTGACAAAATATTCTTGTTTGGTGAGTTGTATCCTCGAGCCATGCGCATCCAGGAGTATGAACTTGCGATACTCCTAGGCTTTTCTCGAGGTGCATATCAAGTACGCACGCTGGCCGGCATGATCGAAAAAGTATGCAAACTTTTTTGGAATGAAATGAGAACTAAGCATAATACCATTACTAGGTCGGCCTTCTCCACGGCGGAAATCAAGAGCTCATCCCATTGTACGTGGATGTGAGCTCCGGCTGGCCTGTTATCGTTAACGTCAATGAACACAGTGCATACGAGATATACTGCGATCGTTTGAAGGGCGAAGGTAGGTTGATGTCACCGAATTCTACAGCGCAAATGCTCACGGTTTCTGCAGAAGCCGAGGAGACGCCGATCATGGCACCAAGGTTCAAGGAAACCTTTGCTAGATCTGTCAAAATTCATTTCGTTGGCGTCTGGTTAGTGCTCGCACTTCATTCGAAGGCCTAGTTGTTCAATTTCCGTTACAGGGATACCGTCTCGTCGGTTGGATTTGTGCGCCAGAAGCCTCTGCCACTGACGTCCTCCGCCGAGCACATCTGCATATTTCGGCATGCGCTCGCTCTCGACGAGCGGCGCGTCAAGTTCCTCCCGGAGTTCGTGGACGGCGGGAATTCGAACAAGTCATCAACAGCGGGATTGGCTAGGAAAGCGTCTATGATGGTTGGCGCTGAGCGAAAAGTGGATACAACGGACACGAATGAATCGTGGTTCTCGCAGGGATCGAAAAAGTAAGCCAGTCGCAACAATTGCCTTGTAAAGATCATAAGTAACAGAGTTTTAGAGCAGCGAAGGCGAGGAAAGATACATACACCCAACTGACCTCGGCGCAGCACGGGGCGGAGACCCACCGGAGAGTCACCAACACCAAAGAAGTTTGGTTTGCCGGAAGTCACTCCGATATGTGAGTTCAGGAACACATTGTTGCCTGCTGTCGATCTAAACGTGTCATTTTCTCTTAGCGGCGGCGGGTTGAAAAACAATCTCGACCTCAACTTGTCCTCGGTCCCTCTTCTATGGATGGAAAACGAAGCAATGTCTGCCGGGCTTCGATTGCGACCCAGAAAGACGGGAGGCGCATGGAACTGGAACGATCTGCGCAATGACAAGACGCACGAATCTCTGAACGCGGTGTGGCGTCCCGTTGAAGTCTTGCCAATAAAGCGCCTCTCGTTCAAGAACGCCACAGACGTTACCTCGTATGTCTTGAGAGTTTATCGTTCGTTGGTTTAAACCTCACTCCCTGCCAGTAAACCGCACCTTGGTGCTGGGCGGATAATTGCGCCCGGACAGCGCATCCACGCCTCTGTCGCTTTCAAAAGCGCAGACTATCACCCTCGTGCGACTTTCCGTGAAGGAAGCGGAATCCCGTGGGAGGCATTTGTCGGGAAAGACATAGATACCGGCGACTTTGAGTGGGCGTCCGAATGGAGGGATCTCATCGAGATGGACCTGTTCGACACCTCTTTCACCATGGAGGCGATCCAGAATCTGAAATCCATCTGGGACAAAGGCGAACAGTCCGACGAGGAGATGTACTGGATCAAACGCCTGTCCTTCATCGCTCTTTCTGGCGAACTTGCCGCGAATTACCTTCCGACGCTGAGGAAGAGTCGACCCGAGGACACGGCGAGAGAGATTCGTCTGGCCATTGAATTCTTCCGGAAACTGGCTGAGCGACGACCGGGCACATTTGATGCAGATCTGGCGGAGTTGCTCGAAAGACAGTCACGTCTGCTCAATGATATTGGACGAGGACCAGATGCGGTGAAGCACTGCGATGAGGCGCTCGAGATTCGCCGCAAGGTTCTTGCGCGCACTCCCACCACCGCCAGGAAACGCGAACGACTAGCGAGCTGTTTGGAGATCATATCGACCTACCATCGTTCATCCAATCTCGCCACTTCTGCACTCGAGTCTACCAAGGAGGCCATCGAACTTCGACGGGACATTGCCGCCGAGTACTCGGATGATTCTCACGTGGATCTCCAGCGTTCGTTGAACATCATCAGCTTTCTACGCTGTCTACACTCTTTGGCCGACGACCTCCGCGATCTCGACCGTCTCCCCGAAGCACTTCCCATTGCCGAAGAAAGGGTTGACATCAGCCGCGAGATGGCTGAGTCGGAGCCCGACGTGTTCAACGCCACCCTCGCTGAATCGCTATATCACTTGTCTTACGTGCTGCGGGATCTCGGCCGATATCAGGAAGCATGCGATGCAGTGGAGGAGGCAGTAACCCTCCAGCGTTTGATTGCGGCGAGGGACCCGACAATCCTGGGAGACCTCGCTTTCTCCCTGCATCATATGTCATTCACCCTCCGAGATGTAGGCAATGTTGTCGGGGCTCTTTTGCCCGCAGAAAACGCGGTGAGCATCCGCCGTAGCCTGGCGGAAGTAAACCCTGTGAAGTTCAATCCGCTTTTGGCGCATTCACTGAGTGCCCTCTCACTCGCGCTCAGGGTGATGGGCCGACACGAGAATGCACTTCTCCCCTCCCAGGAGGCTATCGCTATCCAACGCCAGCTCGTCTCGCAAGATCCAATGCAATTCAAACCGGATCTCGCCGCATTCCTCAACACAATCTCGTATCATTTTGCTGCAGTTGGAAAAGCTGAGGCAGCCCTCCACGCAACCGACGAGGCCCTTCAGATTCAACGCGAGTTGACAGAGGCGGATCCCGTCAACTTCACCGTGAATGCAAACTTCCTCGACACGCGCGCCAACCTCCTTTCATCATTAGGTCGGCACGAGGAGGCCCTGCAGACGATCGATGAGGCGGAGGAACTTAACCGGACGAAGTCAACCGAGCCAGCGGGTTTGGTTCGAGAAAGGAGTGCGGTATACTGGGCCACGCGGGCTAAATGTCTCCTTGGCCTCGGTCGGCAATTTGATGCGCTCAGTGCGATAACTGAAGCGTTAGCGATATATCGCCAAGTGGCCGAACAAAGCCCAACTATCGTCAGTCCGGTATTTTCTGACTCGGTCGATGCGATCCTGGGCTGTCTTGAGCAGCTCAAGTCGACGGAACTGATGGTTAAACTAGTCGAGCTCTGCCGCTTGTTAAGCAAGCACGCTCCTGGGCGCTTCAATGCCCCTTTGAAAAAGGTTCTTTTGGCGCACGCCGACAGTATTGGCGGCTTGGACCGTGATGGAGAGGCGGCGCAGGTCTTGCGCGAGGCAGAGGAAGTTCAGATATAACAAACGTTGCCTTACGCGTCCCGGCTCTTTACATTACATAGCGTAACTACATTTAATAGCATGCCACTCACTAATTTAGCGACGGGCCGCTGCATGATACCTTCCAGAATATTCTTATAGTTGGAGACGGGGAGGATGGGATGATGAGCATGAAGAGTGGAGATAAAGATTCTCGATTTTGGAACCGGGTTGAACTAATCCACCTTGAAGCCATGCGTTCGTCGGATCTCATACAAGTGAGCCACTTGATGTCAGCAATCGAGAACCTTGCGGTATGAGACTCCATGGTGGACTGTAGGCGTTGCGGATTAGCAAGTTAAAATAATATGCAGGACTCGATTACAGTGGATGCGGCTTAACTGGTGGTGAGCACCCACCGAGCAACGAAACGAATGTCGTCAATGAAGCCTACATCCTCCGGCGGATCCAGTTGGTCAAACTCCGAAAGAATGAAAGGAGCAAGGGAAAAATGTGGATGATGGAATGAGCAAAAAGTTGGACGCACAGGGGTTTGAACCCTGGACCGCATACATCTGGGTTTGATTGCAAAGCATGAGTGATACCACTACACCATACGCCCATGGCATGAGAGCTTTCCCCCGGAGTGTGATTCGACTCCTGCCTTACTTATACCTTTATGCGACATTCTGAGCCGCCGCAATGCAACATCATCACATAGATTCAGACCTCACATATCGGTCCTAATGCCTTCTTCTACTGGTTACACCTCAGCTCCTCCTCCCATGCCTTTCCCCAAAAATTCTGCGAGTGTGCTGACTCTATTGACACCAATACTTCGACCTCATCATGCACATAGGCACTGCACATGAGGACCTTGAACCTCATCGCTCTTGTCCACAAAGGTATTGAGCTACGCCGCGCTCGCAGACCTCCCATGTCTAGTTATTAATTACATGTGTCGCCAATCAGTGTTGACTTAACTCGCGCAGCGTTATTTAGTTATTTATTTGTTCCTCTCAGAATCTGACCGCTTCAATATACCGCCATGAATTGGCAAGCAATTTTCCAATCGCTTTCTTTCGTCTGTGTCAAATATGGCGCGAGGCGATGCGGTGGCTGTGCCGTTTTGTTATCATCAGACAGGATAGTTGTCATACACAAACACTGTCTGCTTTTCACCACCATGTCCGTTCCCGCCGCTTCGCCGTTTCACCCCAGTCCAGCACTAACCTCCACCGACCAGACAACAATATTGCATCCCCGTCTCCGGCGGTTTGTTCATCTGCAGTAGATGTGGGCAGATCGATCCGCCTATGCTGTGGCGGTGTTCATTGACCTCCTTTATCTCCCCACCCCTGCTTCTTGACATGTCTGCCATTCTCAGTGACCTGGGTCCACTCTTGAAGGACGGCGTATACAATGTTGAATTCACAGCGACTCGACTGCAGACTACTGTGGATGGCTTGGGCTCTGCCTTTGCCTACAGGCCTCTCAAAGGCCCCGACTTCTGAGCTTTCGGAGACGTGCGCCCATGGCCTTCGGAGCACATCATGGTCTTCGCCGGCTGTGTTTCTGAAATCGCTGTGGAGGTGAGTGGCCCATGACACTATGATATTGGGAATTCATGATGGCGGAAAGCAAATTTTTGATCTCTCAGCTCGGAATGAGGCCATCGACTTATGGAACCTGCAATCATACTTGAGATATGGAGAAGACCGTGCATTGTGGTGTTCCTTTGCTGACCACGTACTCTCTAAATTTCTGGAAACAACAAATTACGTAGCATATATATCAGCATCTCTATCGACACTGCAACCTCTCATGCTTCCCTCCCGTCAAGGACACCGCTTTCGATCTTTGGCGTATTGCCGTGAATATTGACTCCATGTCGATAGTGATGTTCTGGCTTGGCTTGGCTTCTGAGCCCCGGCTTTGGCTTGGCTTCACGGGGCTTTGGCTCAACGATCCTGAAGCCAAAGCCGAAGCCGCCAGCCAGGGCTTTCCGGGGCTTGGCTTTGGCCCAAGCCGCGGCTTTATGCATTTTTTTTGGTTCAATTGTTTGCGGCCCACAAGAGTGACTGCCATTTATTTAACTGTAAGCCATGGTAGTTTCGGTCATCAGGAACACGGCAGATCCTTTGTTGAACCCACAGAAAATATTCCCAGCTGTCTGCGGCACTGTTATGCCGATGCGGAAGATCCCGGTTTGCGATGGATTTGCCATATTGGGTACGAGATGTTGAAAAACAAATTTCAGGCCATAGTATAATGTTCTTCGGTAAAAATACATGTAGATGTATTCCCTAGATGGTGAAACTAACTGCTTTGATCCTCATAAATTATTAGGATTCGTAGGATGCAAAGCCAGGGCTTCAAGCCCCGGCTCTTGGCTTCCCAAGTCGCAAGCCAAAGCCAAAGCCCTCCCAAAGCCGCCGATTTGGCTTGGCTTGGCTTCAAAAGCCCGGGGCTTGGCTTCACGGCTTTTTGGCTTGAAGCCAAGCCAAGCACATCACTACATGTCGATAATCTACAGCTCGAAAAGCGTTTTCGACCTTTGACGACGGGACTTTTGGTGGTGTTGTCACGTTCAACACATTTTTCAGAGGTTTTGCACTCAAAACCTAGCGTGTGCCATGTGGAAATATGAGAGCACAAAATGAACCCCCATTCCCAAACCAAAACCCATTGCATGCCAATACTAGCAGTTACATGACAGGGCATGACAACTTTCACACATTAGTGGTACTCACTTGTGCCATTGTCTTCATCTCAGATGATATGCGGTTGTTATTTGACTTAGTTGGCACTGCTTAATGAGCACATAGGGTCACTCATCAGATGGGCTAGAGTAGGGCTGCCCACCGTCCCATTAACAGGGACGGCTGTCAAAATACCGCCATCTTTCCGAAATTTTGCAGCCAAGACGGTACAGGACGGCAAAAAGACAGCTGTAACAGTAAATTGACGGGACAGCAGCTAACTTCACTGAATCGCGCGATGGAACTTCAAAAGCTATTTTGCACCAAGAGTCATACTGGATGCAGGCCGGACCTTCTGTAACATCTTTTAATGCAATTGAAGCAAATTCAACCTGGGTTGAAACAGACTTGAATTATTCGGATTTACTTCACGTGAGTGGTTTCTCCTACAAAAATAATTCCTGACCTGATGAAGGGAAAGCTCAGCTTGGCACATGTATGCCTGACCTATTTACTTTTCGATTCTGCCAGTTTTAAGAGTAGAAAGCACAAAAATGTGTGTCGAACCTGTCTACAGCTGTCCATGGCCACCATTTGACGTCTTGTAAATGTTGCTTGTCAAGGGCTCGACGGGACGGGACGGCATACTGCCAACAGCACCCGTCACACCTGTCTTTATGGGGATGGTGGGCAGCTATGTTAGAGACCTGACAGTGATGCTTGACTCTTTGTGTTGTCTTCCACTCCATTCGTAACAGCATCACCTAAGACATAGAGGCTTTTGACCAGAGTACCTAAGTCATCCTTATCTTGCAACTTGACTCTTTGTCTCTTCTTCCACTCCATTTGTCTACCAGGCTTCCCTTACCCTGATATCCGCAGAACTAATCAGCAGCAGGTGATAAATTCTAGTCCTAGGTAGTATACTTTCTTGTTCCCTCCAATACTTACATTTCTTATGTATACTGTACATACCGCCCTCATGCAAGAATATTGTTGCATGACTGGGACTGAGGCTCAGGCCAATTCAGCTCTTCTTGCCAAAAACAAGGAGAAATCCTTCAAAAGCTCGAAGAAATCTGCTCACTGCGGCTACTGCAAATACAAAGGGCACAGCAAGGATGATTGCCACAAAAAGAAGCGGGACTTGGAGAAGTACCTAAGGGGGAAGTCTGGCAGGACGTTGGTGAGACAGAAGCCCAAGTCACCGCAGAATCTGATTCTGACTCCAATTTGGACACCAGCAAGACTACGGAATGCGCTAATATTGCTTCCGTCACTGCTGAGTTCTCCACAAACGCAAAGCAGTGGGAGGATGGTTCCCTCCATGTCTTTCTTGCACCACTTCTAACTCTGACTCTGATGTCAGCACAACTATAGAACACCCTGACCTTGTGACCGTCACTGCCGAGCTGTTCGCAGATGCGAAGCAGTGGGAGGATGGGACCCTCCATGTCTTCCTTGCATCTGATGTCATGGCATTTCTTGCCAAATCTGTTAAGTTGGATGCATTCTTCGACTCTGGCTGCATGCAACATCTCTCCCCTGGCCGAGAATACTTCAATGACACAACCTATGTCCCGCTCAAAAAGGTCAAAACGGGTCAAGGATTACTGAACCGTCAAACGATTGACCCGTAATTGACTGGTCAGTGACGGGTCAAGGGCCTAAGATGGAAGTGTTCCCATGGGCACAACCATCTTCTGCCACTCACTTCCCTCCTCTTCCCGTTGTCTTTCTGCCTCAAGGCACGCAATTTGAGTCTACCACTTGCCACTTATGCTGGAGGAATCACAGCTCTGGGATGCTTTCTTTTACAAGAATGGCACACATTACTTGACCGACAAACAGCACTGCAACACCTGGTGTCTGGAATGTCTTGACCCAGTCATCGCGCAATCGAAGGAGAAGGAGGCGCTGGAGATAGCAAATGGTTTGCTGCTGCCCCCAGCTAAGACCGAGAAGGGATGGAGGGCCCTAGGTGCATTTCATAAGTGTTGTGCTGCGAGCACATCTAATGCACATTGACACAGCAGCTGCCACTGTCAATTCCATGGTCGGAAGGATTCTCGGCATGAGGAAACACCTTGCAAGATGTCCAGTAATTTTGGCCTCACCCGAACGACAGCAACATTGTGACACCTGGTTAACACAGATTGATTCGGCAAAAAGTAACACAGCTTCGTCTCAATGGCATAACCAAGCCTCAGCTCACGTGTCGTCCTCCCAATCACGGAGCAGCATGCCTCCTCCATTGACTCCTTCCCACTCCTTTTCTCAATCCCCCAGCCCCAGCCACGATCTTTTCCATTTGCCATCACCTACTATGCCGCCTCTCTCTCCTTTGCTCCCGTTTCAAAACCTTCAATTGCTGCCTTCTGGGAGCCCACTTTCACCCACCGATTCGAACACCTCTGTAGCTTACTTACAATGTCCCAGAGGGACTCCATCTTTTAGATACTTATATAGCATCGTTTTCTTCTAACGTGTTCACTGAGAAGGGACTCTGTCTTTTAGCAGGCTGCAACAAAGACTTGAGCAAAGGCTTCAAGCAAAGTCTGCCTGCCTTATCCGTTCTTGACTCTTTGTGTTGTCTTCCACTCCACTCATTTCACCGCAAGACATATCTGTGGCGTAGGGTTTTGATATGTCCAGCTCTGTGACAGGTTGACAGGCCATTGCAATAGGTCAGGTCCCGGTGTAGAAGAAGGGTTTGTCCAGGAAGTGGACTGAGAAGGTGCTGGTCGTGCTGGGTATGTGAATGTAAGAGTGCTGTAAAATGCCGAGAGCCCAGAAGCAAGAATCTGGAGTGGCAGTAGGATATGAATAACGACTCAGAAAGGAAGAAACTCAGCTAAGAGGCTCGAGAGGACTCAGAATCGCGCAGGGAATGTCTCAGAAAATTGATGGTGATGGTGAGAAGCAAGAGGCGAACCCCTGTACATGACAGTGGTAATGACAGTAAATATGATCGGTCCAAAAATAGGTAAAGTGTCTGTGGGTATCTATGTACCTCCGCTCTGAGCGAAGCCCTCGCCATTGAACCAACCAGGAGCTACGCAAATACGGAATAGGGAGAGCACATTGTGCTGCTCAATGTTGACTCGTGGGTGCCCAATCCCCCATGACGGCAGTCACTGTGGATGTGGCTGCAGGATGCACGACGCTGGCCAGCAGCGGAGGCGGCCGCGTTTTGCGGGAAAGATGGTGTTCCACGTTAGAACGGTGTTCGAGCACCTGGCTGATGTGCATAATCCTGTTGCACACAGCAGAGGCCTCATAAAGAACTCCACGGGGTGCTGCCTCCGTGGCGAGAAAAACACGCGATGGACGAGTGCGTTGGGGTGATGCGGGTGGGGCCCAAACACGTGAGTCAAAAGGGACAGAATGAGGGTAGGGATGGTAATGCGGGGGCGTGAGGGGAAGGGAAATGGGGACGGTGGGGAGTAGATGCTGTGTACCAGCCATAATTTTGAGACTGGCGGCCCACATACCTAGATTCTCCTCCTCCCTGTGCAAAAAAAGACGAGTCCGCGTCCACCTGAACTGCAAATCTTCGCTCTCGTATCCCTCAACGTCTTCCTTCTCAGGTGAGTCCCTATTCTCCCAAAATTTGTCGTGCAGGAAAGGCGAGCCGAGAAAGGGTGTTGCTACAGACATAGCGGGCGAAAAGAGGTGCAAAAGCGTCGAACAAGAGGGCGAAATGACAAAGCAGAGAAGGTCGGGAGACAGAAGAAACTGGGGCTCTGCAAGGCGGGTAAGGGTCTCGCGCAAAAGCATGGAATGAGGCGGGTCTCGCTGGATGTAGCGGTGGGCTAGGCAGCAATGGCGGCCAAGGCTCGTAGGGCACTCGAAACCACTCCAATCACCACGATGGAGACACTACGGGAGGCACAAAGCACTCGCACGTAGTCGTACTCGGAAAAGCCAGAATAGATGACGTAAGCTATGACATCGAGTGCTAACACAACCAAACTGATCTGTAGTGTGGCCTCCACAGCTGCAGCGGACAGCATGGCCGGACTGCGCTAGATTAGGTGAAATTCTGGTTGATTCATCTTCCAAATTCGACCCTACTGCAATGTCACACTGGGTTGCCCCAAGAAGTGTGGGTGTGCTGCAAACAACCACAACTTTGTGAGTTTCAAGGTCCCATGGACTAAAAATCATAAGGCTGTAGGCGATTAATGAACTCAACCAAAACATTTGACGATGTAGACACCGTCTCTGCCTTCAAGCACCACCTCTTTGTCAATTCCGCCGTGCTGGACTCTGCTCCTTTATTCACATATGCTAGCCATCTTGGATGGGCACACCTTAGCCAAGCTGATTTCTTGGGTCACTGCAATGAGATTTGGCTCGCAGCTGGGATGGGTGCTCTCAATGGGCATGGTTTCTGTATTGGTGGTACCACTCATCTGCTCTTGCATGGTGTGGATCTATGGATCGTTATAAAGCAAGGTTGTTGGACGTCCACTGCTTTCCTGCTTTACTGGGGCAACGTCGAGGAAATCCTGCTACAGACATAGCGGGCGAAAAGAGGTGCAAAACCGTTGAACAAGAGGGCGAAATGACAAAGCAGAGAAGGTCGGGAGACAGAAGAAACTGGGGCTCTGCAAGGCGGGTAAGGGTCTCGCGCAAAAGCATGGAATGAGGCGGGTCTCGCTGGATGTAGCGGTGGGCTAGGCAGCAATGGCGGCCAAGGCTCGTAGGGCACTCGAAACCACTCCAATCACCACGATGGAGACGCTATGGGAGGCACAAAGCACTCGCACGTAGTCGTACTCGGAAAAGCCAGAATAGATGACGTAAGCTACGACATCGAGTGCTAACACAACCAAACTGATCTGCAGTGTGGCCTCCACAGCTGCATCGGCAACGTGCTCAGCAATGTTAATAGGGTGCGTGGGAGACAGAATAACGTGGGTGGTGGGGAAGTACAAGCAGGCAAAGGGCAAGCAGTTCACACCGCAATTCAAGGACTTGTGCCTGGCGGATATGAATGTTAATCTGGAGGAGGAGAGTGATGCAAGGGCGAGGAAGAAATTGGTGCAGCTGGGGTCTTCGAGGGGCACACGGAGGGAGCCCAGCCTGGCTCCGAAAGTTTTCTCTTGGATATGGACCGTGGGCGGAGGACCAGGAGAAGACGATGTGGCGCTACACGATTGTAAGTGCAGGGATTGAGCTTTGACACTGGTGACTTACATGCGATGTTTGCAGACATACGGGTTGAATGGTCGAAGGCAAAGGCATGGAAGGAGAGATGGGAGGAGGAGGTGAAGACCCTCTGCAAAGAGATGAAGCCGGTGCTTCGTATCTTGATGTGGGTGCAGAAGGAATGGGAGCGGCAGGAGGCTGAAAGAGGAGACAAGTGGATGGATGTGGTGTTGGCTTCAGGGCTCAAAGCATACCCAAGGCACCAGGTCGCAGTGCATCTGCACATTTCAGACATGTTCTACAACGGTTGGAATGTCTCAGTGGCGACGGCAGTACGGGATGTTGTGCGCAAGGATGGGACAGTATATCAGGAGCTGAGGAGGGGACTGCACCGGCGCCAATGATCAAGGAGATTGAAGAGGCTGTGAGGGGGGGGGGGGGGGGGGACGAAGAGGAGGGATAGTACTAGCACTACACAATAGAATTAGGTAGCTCATCGGGCCGTACAATATTTGTCCAAAAAAGGAAATGGATTGGGGCAAAACTCCTGCGTGCCAAGAATAGGACTTTGGCAAACAGGACGGGAACACCTGAGGCAGTTTTGTAGGAGACACATGACTGCATGACAGTGAATATAGGGAAAATGGGTGATATCCATAGGGGTAGCCACCTGCCTGGCTGTGTGGCGACATATTGGAATGGTGTCAGGGGAGCCCCTATTTCTGGCCCTTCCGCTCCCGCATCCGGACCTTCTGGTCCCGTTCCGACCCGTTCCGGCTCCTCCCAATATCACATGGCCTGTGATTCCGCCCGGGACCTCTGCCGATCACTCCGGTTGCTATCACATGCCCCCCGTCTGTAGTTACTTATATACCGGGATCTGACGCGGGTGATCCTTTAGTCTTTCTTCTCTTCGGATCCCCCTCGTCAGGTCTGTCCATTTGTATTCCTGGTACTAGTATACGGTACCAGGTCTAGAGATTTCAACTGCAGACAACCCATCACACCATTACCGTTTATAGGTACTATTGATCGATCCCATCAAAGGCCTATTCACATTACCATTTGTAGATGTTATTGATTGATTACATCAATTGATGATGGGAGAGCCTGGCCGCGTTGCCTGGGTCTGTCCATCCTGCTTTCTCCCAGGACCCCGGAAAATACTGATAAATGATAGGTCCCGACTTGCCCAAAATGCCACTTTTGTCCGACAATGCTGATTGGACCGGAGCTAGCCGGACGTGATGGGATCACCCTGAAACGGTAATTTCAAGCTCCCACACCCCCGAAATTGGTGACTTTTTGATCGCACCAGCGTTCCATCCATTTTTAGTGACGTTTCCAGCTGGTTTCAATGGACCTCCTGCCGGTGAGCCAAAAAGCCCCACCAAATGCAATTTGGGTGAGAATTTTTTGACAAAACTCGGGCCAAAAGCCTGATTTTTGTCCGAACTGAACCTAACCTTCCGACCCAAAATCCCCGTTTTTTGTCCGACACGGAACCTATCATTTTGGACTATTTTCCGGGGTCCTTTTCTCCCTCTTCCCATCACACCATTACCGTTTACGGGAGGTTTTGATGGATCCCATCAACACAGTGTTCACACGTCTGGACCTGTTGCCTAGGTCCGCCCAAGGTCCTTACATCATTGGACCGTGCAAAAACCTCAACCTGGGGGTTCCGTGTTCACAGAAAAGTTCCAAGAGTTCTGCAGTTCCCAAAAAAACTGCCATGCATATTTCAATGTACCTCTCCACAACAAATTTGACCAAAGTTGATTCTTCATCCCTGAAACATGTATATCCGAGACCTTTGAGAGGGTAAATAATAAGGGCTCCAGCTGCTGGGTTCCTGCATCACGAGTACCAGGGCTGCCCGGAGGGCCTTTTGAATCTGTAGCTACTCTGTGGTATTTACTTCGGATCCCCCTCGTCAGGACTCTTGAGTATACTCGGGCCTTGAGGTTGCCCTTACAAATGGCATGCCCTGGCTACAGTGTACAGTGGAGGCTTTATGTTACAGCCAGGGGTGATTTGCACAAGCGGTTATTCAGTGTATATACACTCACATATTTATAACTAAGTTTCATGTGCAGAATAAAACTGAGATATTATATTAAGTAGTGATAGATGCCCCATGCAGTTTAGTTGAGCAAAAGAAATTGATTATTCAAGGAATAAGGATGAAAAATATGTTAAGCAAAAGAGTCCAGGGACATGCACTGACAGGGACTCGAACCCTGGATTCACTCAGAAATGTATAGGTTGCGCATTGAATAAAGAGTGTGTGTTACCGCTACACCATCAGTACTTTAGTTAATAAAGAAGTTAATAAAGATGTGATCCTGGCAACATATGTCCATTCTGTCGAGAATGGATTACAGATTGAGGAAATGCATTATTGGTATCAGTAGGGCAGTTTGTACAAAGAATTTATGTTTGGGTAAGGAACATAGCAAAAGACTGACAGGTACATTTATGCAAGCAGGTTCAGATGTGGATGACAAGATATCTGTCGTAGAAAGAAAAGAAACTGAGCAGTGAAACACATGACAACAGATAGGAGAGTAAAAAGAGAATGATTACCACAAATATACTGATGGGGATTCGAACCCCACACTCACTCAAACACACGGGATAGATCTACAGATAAAGAGTGTGTGTTACAACTAAACCATCAGTGCTTCCAACACATAACAAAGGTGATCCTGACTACTTATGTTCTGTCAGTAATGGATTAACTGAGGAAATTGATTATTGGTATCAGTGTGAGGGAGGCAATTTGTATGAGAAATGCAATGGAAATCTGTGAGGAGAAAGAAGCTAGAATGTAAAGTGGAGGACAAGAAAGAAGCAGGAGGAGGGGGAGAAGAAGAAACCAAAAAACTAACTGCAATCAAGGAGATACACCAACGAGGACCCGAACCCCGGACACTGGTTGAACATTTCAAGTTTTTCAGGAAAAAACTGGTGAATTTTGTTTTGAATATTTCACCAAGTTTTCACTGAAAAAAGTTGGTGAAAAACTCGAAACATTGTGGTGAGTTATTTGAATTTAGGTCGGAAACTGGTGAAAAAGTTGAAACATCTCAGATAATTCACCAAAATGTTCAACTAGTGGGACTCACTCATAACTTTTTCAGAGTACATTCATGGTACTGTAGTATTTCGACCAAGTATTCAGGTGACGTGTGACGCGGCCCTCTGAATTGAAGACTTTCGGACTTGGTGATGGTGACAATCGAATTTTGAGGCCCAAATAGGCCAAAAAACACCAAAATTTTTGCTCCGGCATCCGCCGGAGCTCCATATATGGGAATTTTGTGGTGATAGCCGAGAAATGAATACTTGTGGTGACTCGTGACATGCCCTGAATACTTGGTCGAAATACTACAGTATACATTATGAATTTGTGTTACCACTACACCACCAGTGCTTTGCAACTAATTACCCAGTGTTTACATACTCATTCACTACAGAAAAATACATACATCCTGCAACTGAGCTTAATATGCACAATGAAGCAAGATGCTATAGAAGAGAAGTGAGAGGTAATCACATAGAGACAGACAGATTATCACTGCAGTTTTGGTTTGGTTAGATCTCATTTGAAGAATGGAGATAAGGACGAGGGAGAAAAATAGACAGGAGTAAAACATGCACTGATGGGGATTCGAACCCCAGACTCACTCATCCATGATCCACGCTTCCCAGTTTCAGAGTGTGTGTTACCGCTACACCATTGATACAGTAACTGTGAGCATTTGAAAGGCAAGGCCAGTGAAGCCGTGTATACCTTTTATAACTATAAAGTAACTCCAATGATGCTTCACCCTTGTACATAGGAGTCTCAGGTCTGATATGTTATGGAATAAGGCACTCACATAATTCAATACTTAATGATGATATGAAACTGAAAGAAAGAAACATGACTTGTAAGAAGAAGAGCAAGAAAATATAAACAAAAACAAACAAAAAAGATAAAGCAATCAAAAATTGTATACTGGGAAACCCATGCACCGACGAGGAATTCGAACCCTGGACCCACTGAAACTATGTTGCTCCCCCCAACTTAGAAAAGTGTGTGTTACCACTACACGATCAGTGCTTTGCAATCCTCCACATATCACTTTCTACATGTATGTCCTGCACACATATCACATTCTATATGTGCAGATAGCAAAAGAAAGTTGGGGTGAAAAAGAGTAAAAACAGATTTGGTGCTTTGCAATCCTACACACATCACATTCCATGCTTTCGAAGAAAGATAGAAGAACAAAGTGAAAGAAGCTCACGGCAGAAAAGAGAAAAAGTATCCTGATAGAGAATAAATGCACCGACGGGATTCGAACCCCGGATCCACACATAAATCCACTATATCAAACATTGAACAATAGTGTGTGTGTTACCGCTACACCATCGGTGCTCCGAAAAGATGGGAAGTGGTGGTTATATCGAAGTGGTTGACTCGAGTATATCCACACTGCACAGTGAGAGTGAGACTGAAGCAATGCATATAAACAACATTTGCTATATTTGATGCAGAGTTGCAGGATATTATTGCGGCCAAATTTCATGCTTCTTACCCCAGAACTATCTGCCTAACGCCTGAGCCAGATCTGGTATTGTTCGGCTTTCGAACACCGAAGAATATCATGTCATGTTTGAGACTCTCCGTCTCTTCGCAATGGCTGCATACAGCCCTATCCTGGCATTCAGGAAAATTTGCAAACATTTGGGAATATTGTCCCAAAATTTCCCGATGCAATGTGATGCGTATCATGCAGCGATTTCCACAGGAATGTACGCATGGAGCATGAGATAGATATCCGTGTGTCAGATCGATTTCCATATGGTCGCAGCAGATTTCCATATGGTCGCAGCAGGTGGAACATGGGCAAAACTGGCCTTCAAGGCTGCCTGTACCAGCCCAATGATGGTGTTAGTCGCTTTCCGTTGGTGTCAGTCGCTTTCTGTTGGTGTTAGTCGCTTTCCGCAATACCTTCTTCCTCAGTTCCTTTATTCCCCTGTACGCCGGGGCCTGGGTGAGTTTACTCAGTTTAGTCTGAAAGTCTTCAATTCAGAGGGCCGCATCACGTGTCACCTGTATACTTGGTCAAAATACTACAGCTTCACCTTCTATCATCACCTTCTATTAGTAAATCCCTTCTATTAGTAAATCATCAGGTATGTACGATGTAAAAGCATAAAAAGCTGTAGAGAAACACGAATTGTAAAAGAAGAAAAACCACTTTAAAAGGAAGTGTAGCAGGAAAAAGATAAACGAAAAGAACAAAGGATATTTTTCAAATATGTTTTGCATATTCCACCCAACAGCGGGCAACAGTCATCTGAAAGATATTGTAAATTTGTTTCACATATTCTTTCAATATTACGGCTTTGATTTTTTGCTTATCCTCCTTGTGCAACAGGAAAAAGAAAAAGAAAAACGAGTGAAAAACTTATTTGTGGAAGCATCATGCACCGACGGGGAGTCGAACCCCGGACCCACTCATAAACACACTGCGACAAGCGCGACAGATAAGGTGTGTGTTACCGCTACACCATCGATGCTGTGAAAAAGGTGAAGTGATGGATATGTATACACTGGGTGAATATTTCGGATTTTTGACTGAGAAATGTGGTAAAAAACTATTTTGAATTTCACACAAATTTTTTCAGTTGAAAATTTGTGAAAAACTTGAAACCTTTTGATGAAAATTTTGATTTTCAGTCAAAAAATGCTGAAAAATTTGAAATATCATGAAATATCTACTAAAAAGTTTCAAGTTTTTCACTTATTTTTTCACTGAGAAATTGGTGTAAAATTCAAAATAGTTTTCACCAAATTTCTCAGTCAAAAATCTGAAATGTTCAACCAGTGATAGTCGGAATAAGTGGGACTGTAACTTTCGGCATCTGATCCGGAGTTATCAGCACGGAATTTGGAAAGAAAGAATGTAATGCAAGCAGAGATGAGATGATTTTGAATGTCATAGCAAGAAAGGGAAGGAAGATACAGGAAGAGCAGAGCAGATCAGAGACACGAAAAAGAGGAGAGGAATCAATTGCAATTGCAATATTCATACAGTATGTAAGCATTTAATTTATGAGCACTGACTGACTGAATGAAAGAGCAGTCTTGGATGAAGAACAGGCACCAACCGGGATTCCAAACCTGGACCCACTCAGAAATGTATTGGTTGCACATCAGATATGGAGTGTGTGTTACTGCTACACCATCAGTGCTTTGCAATCTTATACATAATGTAGGAGGTACATCACATTTTATGATACCTGAGGAAAAAGAATAATAACAAAGAAACTCACAGGCAATATTTATAACTGAGCTTCAGGTGCAGAATAAAAGTGAGATATTATAGAATAACAGTAAGTAGTGATAGATGCCCCATGCAGTTTGAGTTGAGCAAAAGGAATTGATTATTCAAGGAATAAGGATGGAAAAGACATCAAGAAAAAGAGTTCAGGGACATGCACTGACAGGGACTCGAACCCTGGATTCACTCAGAAATGTAGAGGCTACATATTCGTAGATCAAGAGTGTGTGTTACCGCTACACCATCAGTACTTTAGTTAATAAAGAAGTTAATAAAGATGTGATCCTGGCAACATATGTCCATTCTGTCGAGAATGGATTACAGATTGAGGAAATGCATTATTGGTATCAGTAGGGCAGTTTGTACAAAGAATTTATGTTTGGGTAAGGAACATAGCAAAAGACTGACAGGTACATTTATGCAAGCAGGTTCAGATGTGGATGACAAGATATCTGTCGTAGAAAGAAAAGAAACTGAGCAGTGAAACACATGACAACAGATAGGAGAGTAAAAAGAGAATGATTACCACAAATATACTGATGGGGATTCGAACCCCACACTCACTCAAACACACGGGATAGATCTACAGATAAAGAGTGTGTGTTACAACTAAACCATCAGTGCTTCCAACACATAACAAAGGTGATCCTGACTACTTATGTTCTGTCAGGAATGGATTAACTGAGGAGATTGATTATTGGTATCAGTGTGAGGGAGGCAGTTTGTATGAGAAATGAATAGAAATCTGAGAGAAGAAAGAACCTGGAATGTAAAGTGGAGGACAAGAAAGAAGCAGGAGGAGGGGAAGGAGAGGAAACCAAAAACTAACCACAATCAAGGAGATGCACCAATGGGGACTCAAACCCCAGACTCACTCATAACTTCCAGAGTGCATTCGTGGTATACATTATGAGTTTGTGTTACCACTACACCACCGGTGCTTTGCGACTAATTAATGGCAGTAGCCCAATTTTTATAAAAAGAAGAAATTTGATGTCAAAACTTGTTTCCCTCATTTCTTCCTCAATTCTGGTCTGTTTGGCCTGAAAATAGGGGCGATGGAGAGGGCTACTCAAGGCCGTTATGCCCATATGCTACTCGCCCTCTACTTCGAATTTCAAAGGTGTGTCATTTTTCGGGTGTAATTGCTGAATTTCATGCATCTTTGCAGTTGTATAACATGTTTCTCACTCGTTTCTGGACGGTTTCCCTTGAGATTGGATGCATATGGGAATCCCAAATGTCAGGAGGGTGCTGATCCAATTTTCACTGCAATTTATCCTCATGTCTCTGGGCATTGGGTGAATATGTTGGTGGGCTTTATCATGTTCAATCGAAAGCCCACCAACATACTCACAAATTGGATATAAATGTGAGGGAGGTCAATGATGACAACTACATCAGTACAAGTCCTCCTTTTGGGATTCTTGCCTGCACTTGTTTTCATCTAATTCCATCCAACAATGACTGGGAAAGATGTGTTACAAAATCCACTGAGCAGTGAATTCAATTATTGAGAATTGAACATCTCTAGTGAAAAATATCGCCTTCTCACTCATTTCTTCCCGGAATGACATGAAACCGAATGCATATGAGAATCCCAGATGTTGTTAAGACCCTGATATACTTCTTACTATGGTTACCCCTCACATTCATGTGCATGGTGGATGGGCTTTGCCTTGTCTTACCAGGAGCCCACCAACAGATTGGCATGGTGCACATGGATGGGAGGTATAACCATCGTGAAAAGTACATAGAAATATGGGAAAGGTGTGGGATTTCTGTATGAATCCGCTTTCATGTGAATCGGGTCAGAAATGGGGGAGAAAAGTGCCTCGCAAGATTTTAAACAGATCAAATTTATTGATTCCAACCAAAAAATGAGCATTTTAAAAACTTTGAACTGGGACATGAGTAGGGTATGGTTAGGACGGCCCTGGAAAGCCCTCCTGATTCCCCCCATTTGCAACACAAACGGACCATAATTGAGGGAGAAATGAGTGACACAAGTTTTGACATCAAGTTTCTTCTTTTTTAAAAAACTTGGGCTACTGCCATCAAATGTGCAAACAGCTGTAATATGCACAATAAAGCAAGATGCTATAGGATAGGAGTGAGAGGTTATCACATAGAGACAGACAGATTATCAATGCAGTTTTGGTTTGGTTAGATCTCATTTGAAGAATGGAGATAAGGACGAGGGAGAAAAATAGACAGGAGCAAAACATGCACCGATGGGGAGTCGAACCCCAGACTCACTCAAACACAGTGGCTGGATCTACATTGAACAAGAGCGTGTGTGTTACCGCTACACCATCAGTGCCTTGCTCCATAAAGATGTGATCCTGACTACATACATATGTTCTATCAAGAATGGATCAACTGAGGAAATAGACTTACAGCATTGGTGGAGCAGTTTGTGTGAGGAATGTAAAAGAAATCTGAGAGAAGGAAAGAACCCGAGATGTTGTTCTGACTGGGTGAGAAATTGAATCTAAGTGGAAGAATAAAGAAGGAACTGGAAAGGGGGAAAAATGTGCAATGGTGATACACCGATAGGGAGTTGAACCCCTGACACACTCACAATAGTGTGGTCTATAGCAGTTACAAAGTGTGTGTTACCACTACACCACATGTGCTTCGATATCTAGCTCTTGGATCATCAGGCTTCTATGAAGCAGTATCTTGTCTGGAGAGTTGGAAAAGAATAAAAAGCTGTGGAGAAGCATGGATTGCAAAAGAGAGGCCAAGAATGAAAGGAACCAGAAGCAACCAAAAAAGAAGGACAAGAAAAACATAAACGAAATGGAATGAATGAATGAATGAAAAAAAGGTGTTGATGGAGAAACATATGCACCAACAGGGACTCGAACCCGGACCCACTCATAACTTCCAGAGCGCTTTTATCCACATCATGAGTGTGTGTATTGCCGCTACACCATTGGTGCTTAGCCTGCTAGCCGTGGGATAATAAAATCAAAACTCAAAGCTGAAGCATGAACACAAACTCAGTGCTGTGTGCATGTAACTTCAGTAGAACAAAGAACAACGAGAAAGATTTATGGCAGAGAAGAGTAAACGAAAGAAAGAAAAACATCCTGATTGGAAAAGGGACCGACAGGGATTTGAACCCTGGACCCACTTGTCTATCATTTAGTACTTTTCAGTTTCAGAGTATGTATTACCGCTACACCACCGGTGCTTCAACCTTTCACATAGGAATTCTCAGGTATGCCATGATATGGGCAGTAAAGTGATCACTAAGCAAGTGATGCCTGAATAACAATAAAACCTTGATGAAGGAACACAATTCGTAAAAGAAGCACAGCAAGAAAAAGATAAACGAAAAAAAAAAAAACAAGAAAAAAAATAAAGGAAAACGAGTGAAAAACTTATTGGTGGAAAAGTCATGATATCACATCCTACACATATCACCTAGACATATCACATTCCATGCTGTTGGAGAAAGATAGAAGAACAAAGCAAAAGAAACTCACGGCAGAAAAGAGAAAAGGTATCCTGATAGACAACAAATGCACCAACGGGGATTCGAACCCCGGACCCACACAGAAATCCACTATACCAAACATTGAACAATAGTGTGTGTGACTACACCATCGGTGCTCTGAAAGGATGGGAAGTGGTGGTTATATCGAAGTGGTTGACTCGAGTATATCCACACTGCGCAGTGAGAGTGAGACTGAGGCAATGCATATAAATAACATTTGCTATATTTGATGCGGAGTTGCGGCCAATTTGATGCTTCTTACCCCAGAACTCTCTGCCTAATGCCTAATGCCCAGATCTGGGATTGTCCAGGTTCCGACCACCGAAGAACGACATGTTTGAGACTCTCCGTCTCTTCGTAATGGCTGCTACAGCCCTATCCTGGCATTCAGGAAAATTTGCAAACATTCGGGAATATTTTCCCAAAATTTCCTGATGCAATATGATGCGTATCATGCAGCGATTCCCACAGGAATGTACGTATGTATGGGGCGTGGGATAGATATCCCTGTGGCGGATCGATTTCCATATGGTCGCGGCAGGTGGAACGTGGGCAAAACCGGCCTTCAAGGCTGCCTGTACCAGCCCAATGATGGTGTTAGTCGCTTTCTGTTGGTGGTAATCGCTTTCCGTTGGTGGTAGTCGCTTTCTGTTGGTGGTAATCGCTTTCCGTTGGTGTTAGTCGCTTTCTGCGATACCTTCTTCCTCAGTTCTGTTATTCCCCTGTACGCCAGGGCCTGGGTGAGTTTACTCAGTTTAGTCCGAAAGTCTTCAATTCAGAGGGGCACATCACGTGTCACCTGTTGGAAGAACAACCGAATCAACAACGCACCGCCATCGTTGACTGTGCGGGTGCTGACGCTCACACGACGATATGTATTGCTTTTTACTCATCCCGATGCATTCCTGTCCGTTCCCTTGCCTGTTCATTCATACCTAGTCTTCCGGACTCATTTCGGCGCTGTTTCCTTGCCTTTGTTACTTACCTCCTTATGTATGTATGACTCACTTGGATGTATAAGTACCGTAGCATTTCAATCGAGTCCTCTGCTCGTTTGCAGAGGGTCACTGTGGTATAAACCAATAGCCCGATTTCCTACATCACCTGTATACTTGGTCAAAATACTACAGTACACTATTGGTGCTTCACCTTCTATTAGTAAATCATCAGGTATGTATGTATGATGTAAAAGCATAAAAAGCTGGAGAGAAACATGATTTGTAAAAAGAAGAAATACCACTTTAGAAGGAAGCGTAGCAGGAAAAAGATAAACGAAATAGACAGCAAGAAAAAGAAAAAGAAGAAAAGATAAACGAAAAAGAAAAAAACAAGAAAAAATATAAAGGAAAACCATTAACAAAACTTATTTGTGAAAGCCTCATGCACCGACGGGGAGTCGAACCCCGGACCCGCCCATACAATGTATTGTCTTTTGCGCGCCAAAGTTTGAGCGTGTGTTCCCACTACACCATCGGTGCATTGAGAGGATCGAAATTGATGGGGTATATGCACCTTGGATTCAGACTCGGAAAATGTAAACAAAGCACAGTGCAAACAAAATTGCAGGCTGAAGAAAAATTGCAGGTTGAGGAAAAGAGCAAAGCACTTGCAGGAGAGCGGGGATTGTTTTAACTTATGTGTATGTGTGTGGGTGGGTTGGAGGCAGGCAGGCAGAAACATGCATGCAGAGAAAGGGGAGAAAGATTGATGCCAACTTACTTATCCTCCTCTCTTATCCACGGCGGCATTCTCTTATCCACGGCGGCATTCTCTTATCCTAATAATATCCACGGCGGCACCACGGCGGCATTCAATCCAATGCCCAGCCGACGGCGCACACACGTAACGCGGCGTTTTACGTGCGCGCTTTTGGCGCGTTAGTAAGTTGATGCTGCGCGCTTTTGGCGCGTTGGTAAGTTAATGCTGCGCCGTTTGCCCGATTCACACATACGCCGCACCCTGCCGCACCCTGCCGCACCCGGACACGTACTACTACGTAGTGACGCGCACACGCACTACTACGTAGTGACGCGCACCCGCACCGGTTCGACTACGCGCGAACCGGCGCGGCACGAGGCGAGAGCGCCATGCCGTCACTAGTACCGTCAGTGCGAAGGCGAAAGCCGAAAGCCGCCAATGGGGAGCGCCGAAAGCCGCCAATGGGAGTGGGGGAGCGCCGCACCGCACGCCCGCTGCGGGATCAATCGGCATTGTATGGAAGGAGGGGGACCCCGGGGAGCGCGGCGCTTCTTTGCGCGTTGATTCCGCCTTGGACTTGGCTTTTCGCTGATTGATGGGAGGGAATCGATGGCGCGCCGGGAATGCCAGTGTGTCGTTGTTCTGGGTATCAGACGGCATAGACGCCGCAGCGCCTCTGCTGTTGGACTGCCTCGGTGTGTTGTGCGTTTCGCGGTCCTGGATAGATTGGGAAACTTGCACTGCGCAAAACGGAAAAACGGAAAGACGGGGAAACCAAAAGCTCGACGATCCATCCATCGAATCGGATTTGGATTCGGAATCAGATTAAGCAAGCTGTGCTTTGCGGGTTGAATCATAACTCCGTGATGCGAGCGGCGGGCCCAGCTGAGCTTCCAAGCCAGCGATCTGAATTGGATTGAGTTTCGCGGCGGTGCAGAGTGGGATTGCGTTGCGTGTGGTGCTGTTGGTGCGGTTGGTTGTGTTGGCACGCCACGCCGAACCCGCGCGCTTCTTTTCACGTCGGCGGTCAAAAACGCGCCGTGTGTGCGTGCGTGCCCTCCGCTTTTTGTCCCCTCCGCTGCTGTCTGGTTCTTACACCAATCCACTACCCCGCTACTTGCATCCCCGCCTTGACTTGCTTTACTTGCCTGCTTGCTTGTCTCTGCGCGCTACATCTACACCCATCGACGGACACACACACCGCCTTGGTTCCCCGCCGCTTAGGGATTGACTGCGCCCGCATCGACTGACTGGTATCGACGGAGACGGAGAAAGAAGACGAGACAGGGACATCAATTACCCGAGCCGACTGCCGACGCCCGCCGACTGCCGACTGCCGACTGCCGACGTCCGCGTGCCACCCACTCACGCTTGCTTCCATCCCGCTTGCTTTCTGCTGCCACGTTCCCCTTTGCACATCCGACTTGAACGACGACTTGGACTCGGTGAGCTCGCCCGACTACCTTTGTGACCTTAAGCCGACGAGCGAGCGTTAGTGTGGATTATCGGATTGAAGCGCCCACACCCACACCCACAAAAGGAGACTACTTTGGATTTGGAGATTTGAATTTGAGAACGCGAAACGAAAACAACACGATGAGCGCTGTCGAGGCGCCGATACCCGCCGCCGCCGCCGAGGCAACTACTACGAAAGACGCGCCCACAACGAGTGGCACGGCCGAAGATGTGGCTATGGCGGATTTACCTGTGAGTTTTTTTGCTTTCATTTGTTTCCGCGACGATACATACGCGCCGATTGCATTGCGATTTCCTATTGCGATTTGGTCGCATTCGTTCGCTTTTCTTGCTTTCCATCTTACACGCGACGCACGACGCTGACGCGCCTCTCCCTCTTTCCCAGGACGCGAAGCCCCCGCCCGCCGACGCCGACGTGTCGATGGAGCCCTCCGTTCTCCCTGCTCCTACTTCCACCGTTCCCTTCCCCCACCCATCCACACCCGCACACCCCGCCTCCTCCTCCTCCTCCGTTCCCTTCCCCCACCCATCCACACCCGCACACCCCGCCTCCTCCTCTTCCTCCTCCGCCCATAATCCTCACTTAACCACAGCCCTACAACACTCCCCCACGACAATAACAGTCTCCGCCACCACCACCCCCGCCGCGCACCTCGCCGCCCTGCTCTCCACCGCGCTCTCCGACGTCGACGCGCTCCGCGAGGAGCTGGGGCGGGAGCGGCGGCGGGCGGAGAGGGCGGAGCGGCTGTTGGGGACTTTCGGGGCTGTGGCGGGGACGTTGGGGGGTGTGGCGGGGACGTTGGGTTCGACTCATATTACCGCGGGTACGGGGACGAGTTCCACGGCAGGGCATGTAGGGGTGAAGGAGAAGGAGGGGACGAGTGCAGGGAAGGAAGGAGACGAGACGAGACCGGGGACAGCATCGAGCGCGACGCCCGTCCCGACAAAACCCGGAGAGGACGCGATGGCAGACGCGGACGTCGACGCGCCTGGCGAACCCGCCGATTCGACTACGGACGCGTCGGCGGCAGCGGCTGTTCCTGCTCCTTCCACCACCACCACCACCACCGCACCCGCCGACAATTCCTCCACCTCACAACCTACTGCCTCTGCACCCGCGGATTCAAGCAAAACGTCGCAACCCGCCGACTCAACTGGCTCAGCAAAAGACTCGACTGGAGCCGCCGCCGACTCCAGACCGAAATCAGGCGAACCCACAGAAATAGCAACGACCGACACCCCAATAACAACAAAACTCCCCCCTACAGAAGTCGCAACAAAACTCCCCCCCGCGACGCTCGCCCTCCTCCTCTCCCTCGACGAGCGCACGACCGCGGCCGAGCGCGCACGGGACGAGGCGCACGCACGGCTGGCGGCGCTGCAGAGCAATTGGGGGCAGTTGGGGGGGTATTTGGGGTGCGTATTTGCGTTTGGCGTTATTGTTTTCATTTTTGTGGGCGAGGAGGAGGTTTTTTCTTTGGCGGAGATTTGCGACGCGCGGATTTCTTTTTTTGGAGAGAGGCGATTTTTATTGTCGGTGGACAAGCGCAAGATGAGACGAGGAGCGCGCGGCGTTTTGCTTTTATTTTTTTCCAGAAGACCGAGGCGAGAAGGGATCTTATTTTCGTTTTTCGTTTTCGTTTTCTTGATTTTTCGTTTTCGTTCGTGGGCGGGGGAGTCGGTCATTTCTTTTTTCTTCTTTTGGGGAAATGGAGGAGAGACGAGAGCGGAGGGAGGGAGCCGTCTCTGGTTTCTTTATTTTATTCTTGTTTTCGTTTTCGTTTTCGTTTGGGGGCGGCGGACGCGGAGGGGGTGGATTCGAGGGGCGATGCGTTTTCGCGTGCCTTTTTGGGGGAGGGGGGAAGGAAGGAGGAGAGAGTCGAGCGCTTGACGGCTCTTTCTTTCATTCGTTTATTCCTTTTTATTTATCTATATTTTACTTTGCGGATGAGGGGAGTCGCGACTCGCGCTCGCTCGTATATCCTTTTCCGCCCATCTTCCCACTTCCACCATCCGCATTTCAATCTGATACTAACCCTTCCTTCTCCCCAGACTCATCGAAGCCCGCGCCGCCGACGCACGCCAAGGCTTCTCGCGCATCGTCCAAGAAGGCGGCGGGCGGCTCGTCCTCGTCGACGTGCCCCTCCCTTCTTCGTCCTCCCACCCTTCCTCCTCCAACTCGCACTCTCTTCTCCCCACGTCAGTTTCCACCTCCCACTCACCCCCGCTCCCATACACCGCCTCCTCCCTCGCCGCGTTCAACTCCGCATTCAACACTTCTGCCCATTTGGCAGCAAGCGCGAACTGGCACGCGGGCGCCCCGGGCGGTGGTGCGGGGCATTATAACCCTTACGGGTCCGCGCATCTATACGGCGCAGGGGGTGGGGTGCACGGGGGGTACGATAGGGGGTATCAGTTTTATGAGAGGGAGGGCGGGAGGGGGTATGATGGGGGACGAGAGCGCGAACGAGAGCGAGGTGGAGGGGGAGAAAGGGGAGGAGGAGGAGGGAGCAGTAGGAGGGGCACGAAGGACGGGTTTGGCGGGCTGCCGTTGCCGCCTGTGCCGAGTGCGGGGGGGTTTGGAGGGGGGAGTGGGAGTAATGGTGCGTTTTTCCACTATTATCGATTTTGGGGATGTGGTGGTGTCGGCTTGCGCGTCGAGCTCGACGCGCCTTGTCACCGTTTTTCCCTCACTTTCCTATTCGTATTTCCAGCATTCATGCTAATTTACATTCCAGGCGCAGGCACGCGCAGACCACGCGCGGAGAGCATGGACGTCGTTGGCGGCGAGCGGGGGTACCCGAATAAGAGGGCGCGGGGGGAGGAGGGGTATGATGTGAGTCTGCGTCTCTTGTTCGTTTTTGTTATGCATGCGTATGAGACGCCATCTTTTGGTGGGGAGGAGCGGGGACGAGATGCAGGAGCGCGCGCGATTTACTTCCGCATTTGTCTGAGGGCGGAACGCTGAATCGAGCGCGGGGAGATGTGCGCGTAGACGCGTCTGTTCGGCCTCTGCCCCGTTGCCCCATCTACTATCGGATGACTCTGCATATTCGAAAATACGTGCTCACTACTTTGCTCTACAGTACCACACCCCGCACTACCCCTACCCGCGCTACCCCCAGTCCTCCTCTTCCACCAACCCCAACGCCGCCTCCTCCACCCACCCTTCCCAAGCCGTGCCAAACGCGAAATTCCGCCGCTCCCCCGAGCGCGGGGGCACGCTGGGGCGCGGGGAGGGGTATTACGGGGCACGGGATCGGGGAGACGCACAACACTCACACTCGCGCGAGGGACGAGAGGG